AATCTTCAATTAGAGAAATAACGGTTAATTTAAATAAAAATATAGTTGTTTTTTACCCTGATCATATTACTTACCCAGTAAGCAAATTGAGCTCAGACTGCGCGCAGATTGGCGGCAAATTTGATCAAAAACCCACAGCAAAACCATAGCCATCTGTGTCTACATTAGGCTACGGTTTTTAGCGACAGATCTTGCTGTCGGGCAATTGGTGCTAAATTTGCAGCAAGAACCGTGCAAAGCTTGCAGCGCAGCAAGATCTGCGCGGTTTCTGCCGCCAATCTGCCGTCAAATCGCTACAAGTTCTGCGCGGTTTTTGCTGCAAATCTGCAGCAATTATCCGACAACAAGCTCTGCCGCATATCTGGCGGCAATTTGGCAACAAGAGTTGATATAACAGATGCTGCATTACATTTGTTATCTACTTGCCATCAAAAGTTGATAACAAGCTCTGCTCGAAATCTATTCGCGCAGGTTTGGCTATCTGGGTTAATTGTTCTAACACAAAAATGGTCATAGTAATATGCATATAAGGCTTTTATCACTTATAGTAGAATTTCATAAAAGATAGTTTTCTTGACCACAATTTCTTGTAATTACTTCTCTATGTGATTGTAGTTACAAATACCAAACATTTATTTCCCAATGCTCGACTGCTGTGTAGCCTTGTATATGTGCGGAGATCGAAGATCCGCTCTTTATAGTTGCAACTTTTGCATTTAAAACGTTTGAGACAGATGAGCAGCTGCATTTTGGTAGCGCGACCGCAATATGGGGTTTCGAAATTGTCTCGTTTATTGCACTCGCACGATCTTTAATCTATAATTCGCCATCGGCTCGCCTTGACGCCTGTGATTTATACGCGAGTAAAAGGCCAAGACCTTTAACCCACCAGCTACTAAATACCCCGAGTGCGGTTTATCACTTAAAGCGAGGAGAAACGTGTTCACAGCAATTTGAATATGTAATGTTGAGAACGTAATGGACGTTCAAAGCCAATAGAGCGTTAATTGACGCATAAACGATGAGAATGAACCGCGTGTCTCGCGAATTAAAAAGTATCTAACGGCTGATAGCCTTCCCACTTCTGTCTTCTACTCCGGGAATATTTCTTTTATATGTGTTGCTTTTTTTAGAATAAATACGAGAACAAATAAAAATAATTCAATAATCTTCAATGTTATAATTATTAGTATCACATGCATACAATTATCCCAAACAGCAGGAATGTCCCAAATACATCATAGGAATATCTTGAAGATATCACAAATCTCAAATATATCTTTAGGATGTCTCTATGATATATTTTGGACACCTCTGCTGTGTGAGATGTTTACGATATCACACATGTGACACCAGTAATTATAATTTATTACACTGTAAAAGTATTCGATGAAAAGTTATCAAACGAATATTCTCGATCAATTTTTACATCTGATCAAATTTAATCCGATAATTCCGATCATTATTTATTTATTTACTTATTTCTCATAATATAATATTAATCATACTATGTATAGTGGCACTCCACCGGATAAACCGGTCAAAATATTAAGAAACAATATCTTTCACCGGATGTTTTCTGATCAGAGAAAAATTGATTGGATTTCTTGAGTGGAAACGTCCTTTATCGGATAATTTCTGTCTTCTGCTTCGAAAATTCTTGCTTTATATGTGTTGGTTTTTCTTAGAATAAATACGAGAACAAATAAAAATAATTCAATAATCTTCAATGTTGTAACTATTAATATCACATGTATGTTCGATAATGCTCGAGAATTATGCAATCGGTTTTACGCCGGTAATGTAAGACCAGCGTATTTGTGCGAGTGTTGCTAAATCGGGCTACCGTGTGAACATAATTATTCTTTCCGCTATTCTTTTTGCGATCTTCAACTTAGTTCTCTCGTAGAATCCTTCCTAAGAAATCGAGAGTCGCTTTTCGCGTTCATATTTTCGGCGACATAGTGTTAATAATAGAGAAGAAGGTCGGCGAGACGGTGTTTCGGAAGTGGAGACACTCGACGACACGCAAACTGCGAACAGCTGTGTAATTACGGTCGACAACGGCGGCGGCAACGGCAATGTGGTGGGAATACCTGGAAGTCGTGGACGCGTAATATTTTGCGATTCGCTTCGCTGACGGGAGCAAGAGGCGCGCGATCAAAATTCAACGGAGACTCACCTCGGGAGTTACCTGGACTGCGCGCTACATCGCGAAATTACACTGTCAATGCCATAGCGCGATGGGTTTCCCAAAACGTCAACAAGATGAATTTCGTCGCGCCGAAATACGCCTAGTGTTCCCCTAACTTCGTGTGTTTCAGTTGCTGCGGAATTAAAAAAATGATATTAAACAATATCGAACGTCACGCATCCGCTCGCAACAGGATCCTCGGAGTCGCGGCGGATGCACATGGAAATGGAGGAAAATAATTTTATCTGTTTCATCACGCTTCAGTCGACACACACGATGTGCTCGATCTCGCGTAATGACTCGAATTACTCGGGACAATTAATTCCGTATACACGCGTTTCGCGTCGCTTCCGAGACTTTCCGGGAAAGCGGCTTATTTTTAGAGCAGGATAATTCATCCAAGTGTATTTATCCTTTTGCTCGCAGATCTGTCAGATGACGCGGCAGGCCGAGGGACATCCTCGCGCTGACCAGGTGACCAGAAGACCGCCCATGAAACGGGATCTGGCCAAGCATCAGAATATCTCAATGAACGGGACTTCCGTATCTCCGAAACCAGAGCAGACGACGTCGCGGGAGAGTCACGAGAGTATGTCGACGTAGTACGCATATTCGTCACGGTGCGACAACTAGCCATTGCAATTAAATGCGGTTCTAAATTCCAATCTGTAATCTCGACGTTTGTTGATCTCGTTGCGCTGGGTCGAATCTTTATCTCCGATACGGAAACTCAATATAATTTCAGTTTTCATTGCGCAGTACATGCTGCTCCGTGGTGTTATCGAATCATCCTCGCCAATAACGCAGTAATGCTAATAATGCAATTAACGCGGTACAAACTAGTTTTTTAACGAGTAGTCTGATACGTGTTGCCGTGAGACGTCGAAATGAAGAGATCGACTATATCAGATTATTACTCGTTAAAGATTGTGACTTGTTACGATCGGAAAAAACGTCCAATCGCGCTACAAAACCTGTGCTAGCTCATTGAAGATGATGGAAATTACATTGTGATAACAGACTGGATATTACGACTCAAACGATAAGAATAGATGAAGTCTACGCTCGAGATCGTTGATTGGAAATTAGAGCCCGGTCTCTCAGTCGCATTACCAAATAGTAGCTTATCTTTTAAACCCGTAACAAATTATACATTGAAGATTAAGATTCATATTATATCACGGTCAAAGTATAATATTCGATTGCGCTGTGGACTCGCATGAAGCTACCTATGGAAAAATGAAATTAAACTTACAAGTAAATCTATCCAAGTGTTACACTCCAATTTTGATAAGTTTTTAAAATGCTGTAGGCTAGATCTAAATAAGAGACACATATTATTTTATACGTGCCTATACAGCCGGTAAGAGGGTGAAACACCCTCTTGAAAAAAATCGGTTTTAACATTTTTGAGCGAATATTATGGCGACGGTAGATAATACAAAAAAAAGTTTCAAATAAAAGTTTTATGGGTTTTAATGAGCTTTATAACAATGCATTCAAATTTTTCGAAATCCCTTTTCCCTCCTTAATTTGTAAAATCTGAGTGTTTAAATTTGTAAAATTTGAGTGTCATTGTTATAAAGCTCATTAAAACTTTTTTCTGTATTATTTACTGTTCCGATAATATTCGCTCAGAAATATTAAAACCATTTCTTCAAAAGGGTGTTTCACCCTCTACCGGCCATATAGGCACGTATAAAACAATATGTGTCTCTTATTTAGACTTAGACTACAGCATGTTAAAAGCTTATCAAAATCGAAGTGTAACACTTGGGTAGGTTTACTTGTTAGATAGCGTAATAGAGAATGGAACTCAATCAATTGGAACGAAGAGAGCAAAGATTGCGATCGCAAATTGGAAGTTCGAGTTCGGTCTATTTTGTGATTTTCAGTTGCAATTTTTGATGAGTTTGGAATCGATTTTTCCTGAGTGAAAGAGACATTTGGACAGTATCTAAGATACGATTGATAAAGAAAAGACTTTACCCAGATAACAACCCAGATAACCCAGATCTAAAAGACGTCTTATGTAGCAAAATGTTATAAGATATATTTTCGACATCTTTTAGACATGCATGTTATCTGGGTAGTAAGTTAATCTTTAAAGAACAAATATATAATGAAAAATTCTTTCGTCAATTAACAGAAACTAATGAAGAAATAGTTTTCACTTAAATAGGATTTTAATTTGTTTATAAGACGCAAAGATATACAACGAAAATCGAGTACGTCAGTTGATAATTGTACTCAATTACTTTCACTAAGAAAAGTCGACTCCAAATTTTACTTAAATATTAATTATTTATCTTAATGATATATACTAATGATATATGCGACTTTGAATATCGGCTCTGTGAACAAACGAAACTTCGACTACGTCAGCGTCGTGATATACGAGGATGATTAACATGAAGATTGATGAGTTCTAATAAAGATGGGACGGCGAAGATTTAACGTCACAAATGATGAAGATGAAACCTGAAAGTCAATCTTGCGGTTAACAATCTTTGAAACGCTGATGAAAGCTATGCAAAGTAGCGTGGAGTAAATGTTGAAATAGGAATCAATTCGATCCCTCATAGCATAAGATCTTGAAGGGATATCTTGTGTGGACATTTAGAAGTCCTCGGAATATTTTTAGGATATTCTAAGGATTTATACGGACATTTAGCAATCCTCTGGATGTCTTTGGGACATCTTTTAAATCTTGTGCTATGTGGAATATATTCTATATTATTATTAAATAAATGTAACCGACCATATACAATATTAATCAACGAGATAATTTGATACTTATAAAAGCTGTGGAAGAACTGGTGTTGGTTGAGTGTTACTTGATCGGGATTAAAAACTCAAGAGTGTCGAGATTCAAAGATTAACTGACCAAGTCGCTCATTTTCACTTGTAGCAACATTGCCAAAGCATTTTCTTCCTCCAGGGTCAACGTTAGAGGGAAAATTTGTCTTTCCATCGGACGACGACTCAACGAGCAAAATCGACGTAGCAGGGCCACCGTCCTGCCGAGGCAGTACCTTCTGTGAAAATGTTATCCATTATCCCAGGAACTTGGTGGACTTGGCGATCCAGGAAAACAGCAGTCTCAAATTACTAACAAGCGTGGATGTGATTAATACGGTTTATCTCTTCTTTCATGAAAAACAAGGATTACAATTGGCGTAGAAGACAACGTACTTGTATTTGCCGCGTTTTTATATCATAAAAAGAAAAAGACGTGACCTTTGTGCGTCTCGGAATTCGAGAAACAGGAATTGTCCCTGCAATGCAGGAATCGAAACTGCAATTGTTCCAAAAGATTTTCGACCAGAATGGTTTTATTTCGCCAGAAGTGGGCGAGAATATTGCTAAGAACTCGCGTTCCCGTTCGAGATCACAAATAGTTTTACGATAGCTTCTATGAGCTCGACGAAACTGTGCCACTTACAATCCTTTATAGGAATTTAAATTCCATTAAGTTTCTCAGTGAACCAACATGAATCATCTTTTTAGGTGTTCGACATAACGCATAGAATACATACGTCGGACGAAACACCGCTCTGCAGTTCCGACGTGAGTGATCGCACGTTACACTTTGATGATGCACGGAACAACACGAGAAAAAAGTCGAGAAATTTAGAAAGACTATTTATTCTTGCATTGCTCTAAATTTTTCGACCTTTTCTTCTACGTAGGATCGTCATATATTTTCGTATATATCACACGGATAAGAAAGTTTGGTTGCCAACCAAGTATCTGGTGCGATTTGAACAAATCAAAATCCCGGTTGAAGCTACCAAAATTCTATTCAAGCTAACAAGATTCTGGTCAACCAGAGATCTTGTTAACTTGAACAGAATTCATTTCCGTGCACTAATCGTGACAATGACGTTCATGATTATAGGAAAAAGTGGTCTACCAAATATCTGGTGCGATTTGAACAAACCAGAATCCCGGTTGAACCTACCACAATTCTATTCAAGCTAACAAGATTTTGGTCAACCAGAGATCTTGTTAACTTGAACAGAATTCATTTCCGTGCACTAATCGTGACAATGACGTTCATGATTATAGGAAAAAGTGGTCTACCAAATGTCTGATGCGATTTGAACAAACCAGAATCTCGGTTGAACCTACCAAAATTCTATTCAAGCTAACAAGATTCTGGTCAACCAGAGATCTTGTTAACTTGAACAGAATTCATTTCCGTGCACTAATCGTGACAATGACGTTCATGATTATAGGAAAAAGTGGTCTACCAAATGTCTGATGCGATTTGAACAAACCAGAATCTCGGTTGAACCTACCAAAATTCTATTCAAGCTAACAAGATTCTGGTCAACCAGAGATCTTGTTAACTTGAACAGAATTCATTTTTGTGCACTAATCGTGATCATGACGTTCATGATTATAGGAAAAAGTGGTCTATCCGCAGTCCGCCGAGAACATTAATAATGAGTGGTTATACGTCGTGAATCAGGAGAATTTCAAGCAAGGCGTGCGCGTCGAAATTTGCAGGTAGATACGCGACGTAACTGTCGAAAGAAAAGAGAAATGAAAATTGCATTTACAGCAAAGAGTTCTCCATTCCGCAGCAACGAGGAGCAAAAGTGTAACGTGATCGACGGCTTCGCCGATAACTACCAGACCATATGCAAGCAGAAGTACATCTCTCGCGAGCTAGTGGCGTTGGGATCCAACGGCAAGATTCACACGGACACGTTTCGCTTCCCGGCGAGCTGTTGCTGTCATGTCAAATACACCGGCGGCCCGACCCCGAGGTCGGCGAGATAAGCGGGCTGGTGAAAAAAAGGAAGGAAGTTAGTACAAGAGAATAGCGTAATGCGTTTGTAAGTAAGGGTGAAAGTGAGACATGCAGTGTTACCCTTAGACGAAACTGCGCTTCTCGCGTTCGGTAGAGATATCTTGAGGAAAAAAATTAATTACATTCGTCTCGATCTCGACATTGTACGTGCTATTACATTATCAATTAGTGAGATTATATACAGTAAGCAGGTTTGATCGCAGCAATAGAGATTTCACAACTTTCTTCGAGAGAAAGAACGACTCCGTTGCGATAGTACTTCCTTTCGGATTGTTTGATCTTCTCGAAATGGAACACCTAAAAATAAAAAAGGATTGGCCTTGAGTGAAAGGAAAAGAAAGATCAATTTGACGTGCTGCCTTCGCTTTATGTATCTCCGCCGAGCGAGAAACGCTGAACTTTCTGCTGGATTCTCATCTTGCGACATCTCATCTCACGACAACATATAATCCTACACGGGAAAAACGATACGGTGCACATAACCAGAACCATTTGATTGGAATAAACATAATATCTTTGTGTGATGCTAATGTCTACAATTGATACAACTCAGTTGCTTCAGTACGTCAACTACATCAGGATAGTTGCGTGTGATCTGGTTGTGGCAACCAGAAATCATTTAGGTTGACATTTATCGTGGAAAAATTCTGATTAAAGCAATCAGATATCTGCTGCAACGCCAATAACTCAGCTCTGTGGTTGCAACAACCACATAATCGGTTGTTCTGTATTTCATAAATAAATCTGATTGGCATAATGGGCCAACCATACTGTTTTTCCCGTGTGTCTTTTTACACTTCGCTTCGCAGAAGCCAAATAGAGACCTTGCGATTATAAAGTGAAATTTCCTGTGCAGTTTCGGACGTGGCTCTCCTCACAATCACACATCTTCAGCGCGAAGTAAAGCCGAGGGAGAAGCCGACGAATTCCTGCGGCCAATCACTCGGTTCTTCCTTTCTTTCCGCTCTGCGAAGGGAATCGGCGTTGCGACAAGTGAGAAACCGTTAAGTGTAAGTAGGAAGGCTCTCACGTGTCCGCTGCGGTCCTCAGCAGAGTGTAACGAGCGGTAGTACAGCGAGTCACGTTGCGTTTTGTACGAGTTTCCCAAGTGTTTCCGCTCCTCGGGAATAATAATCGGCAACGTTATAATAGATGTGGTTGCAATTAACGGGGACCAGCGGGCGCGTGTATATCTCTATAAAGATGTTGTAGACAGTTGTTTCTGTTTGCCGTGTTCACTTTTCTTTTTGTTTCTTTATAAATAACGCAAATAACGCATTTTTTTGTATTCGTCTCTCATCGACGCGATCGAATTTCTACACACACATATATATATATATATAATATATATATATATATATATATATATATATATATATATATATATATATATATATATATAGCAGGATAAGAAACGTGTACAAAATTATTATAATTATTATTATGTGATATTATGTGATACGATTATATATGTATGTATGTATACTTGTGTGCGCGTTAGGAATTATATTAACGTTGTATTCTCCCTTACGTATAAAGTACGAATAAAGAAAGTGAGCTGTCCTTCCTTTGTGTGTACGTGATTTGTCCGCGCATCAGCGTTCGAGATTAGCCGACAGGCACGAAGGCACAATTCGCGAGAGTCACATTTGGTCGCGCATCGTTAACTCGCGCTTCGTGATTTTCCTTTCTCCAGCTATGTCGCCCCTGAACACATATGCTTATAATACTTGGAATTATCTCCCGATATTACTACATTCAAGTGACTTTCGACAGCATTCTAGAATTTAGAATGTTGCTTAACGAGTTGCGTTCCTATCTGTCTCTCTCTTTTTCTTTCTCTTTTTTGCTCTCTTTTTTCTTACTGCTCTGTTCTTCAGGCAGACACACACAATTTTACTGCTACTACTAGAACTACCGCGAGTTAGTCGAGCTCGTCGTACACTCGAGTGATCCATTAGGCGAAATTTAAATGCGAATTGTTTGTTTTCTCATTTTGCAACGCGCAGTAACTGATGACCGCGAGATCAACGTATAATGAAGTCATTGAGCCTCGTTGACGAATTTCAACAACTTCGTTACAACATTAAAAATTCTCTCGTCTATTTGTATGAACAGACAGTCAATTGATTATCCTAATGATCAGTTCCTGGTCCCTCGTTGCGGAATTGCCTCGCAATTGATGTCAGGAATAAGAAAAGGCACGATAAGAATTCTTGCAAAATACATTGAAATGAAAAGACCCATAAATTGACATTTGCAATTGACTTTTAATGTAGTCCAAATGCTTTCCTCCAACCAATGGTCTTAACAACCAATAAATCACCATAACTAGAAGTTAACGTGATACGCAATCTATTTTTTAATCTACCTTCCCACTTTTCTTTAAATTTCACGGCCACTTATTGATTAGAACAAAAGAAAAGTATTCGAACTGTTTTACACATCAATCGATTGCAAGGATTATTTTAAGGTTACGCATCTCTTTTTATTCTCACATGTTCTGCAAAAACTTTTAGTGTGTATTTTCTCGCTTCTGACATCGTAGATAGAAATGACCGCGGTGAGGACACAGGAGCCTTAGTAACTCAAACTGCAGATAACAGGAGTAGATGAGCACGGGAAAGAAATAAAGATCGGGGCGACATTTCAGGGCACCGTCGATCGATACGCCAGTTAATGGGGTGCTCTAATTTAAGCGAGAAGCCGCTATCTTTCGTCACTTTCATTAAAATTGCAAATCGAGCCCTGCTGACCGCGCGAGATTGCGTCGCGTTCTCGTGAGAGTAGACGCTCCTCTTCAACGCGACAGCGTTCAACGTGTCACGCTCACTCCTCGATCATCGCAATTCCCCCGCAGTGTCGCAAGAAGCACTTATTAGCGGGGATCGATGTTGGTTGCTCTTGACGCAACAGCGAGAAAGAAAATAAAATGTCGAGATGTCGCGCCGCGTCAGAATTCCGGCTGAAATCGCCAGCATTCTGTTTAAGTTAACACAATTTTAATTAACCAAACAAGATTTCTGATCGTCTTCTGCTAGAATTCTAGTTCATTCACATTTCATCAGATGTCCAATCAATCCAACTAAATTTCTTTTTCCATAATAAAACTTATGAACTCGCGCCTCGAGCCAGAAAACGAAAGAGAGAGAATCGAGACACAGATACCACGAAAAATAATCTCGCTGCTGTCGACCGGCGGTGTCTCGTTCGTCGATCATTTCTCGTTTGACATTTCGGCGGATAATGCCATTTTATTATTTGTAAGACTTACAATTAAGCGTGAAACTCTACTCGTTTCTAAGCTGTCGTTCATTTGTTCGTATTATCTACCAGATAAGATCTATCAAATGGCCGCATATCGCCAAATCAAACGCGCCGCTCGACACTGCAAACGGGACAGTGTCCTTATTTCTAAATGCATGTCGTACGCTCAAATCCGCTTTGAAATCATACACTACCGGTTTGCCTAAATGTCACTGAGCCAGACTGACTCGCTCGCAATCCGATATAAGTGATGATTCACGAACATGAGCGTACTCGCTGCTTAAGGCCCGAAACGCGGCGCGTTTCGTCGACAAGCCGGAAAAACGGAAACTCTCCGAGTCACCAATTAGCCGAGTCATTAACCGAATATCAAGGAGCATTCGCAAGCGTATGAGACGAACTTTGCGCGCGTGCGCCACACTCGTCGAGGTAAATGCAGCGCGGTCTTGAACGCGAGGATCAACAATTTCCGTCGCGTTGCTGAATCGTTTCCAATCATCGTGGACGGTGCAAAAACACGCCGCAATGTGCACAAACTCGGTACCAGGGATTTGCGAACACCACGTGTATACGATCGTGTGTCGCGCGCAGGCGAACATTCCTCAAGCGCGCAATCTCGCGTGCGCCGCAGTTTTCCAACGGTATCGTGGCACGAAGTATCATGTATGGCTCGTAAATGAGAAAATGCGAACGCAGTCTCGACGCGTGACGAATTCACTCTGCGGGAGATTTGTACAGTTTCCCTGATAACACGAAGCTGACTCGCGCGGACTGCCGCCAATACAAGAAGAACTATACGGCATACTTGGAAGCATTTGAATGGAGAATACATATAAGGCAAACATACCAATGTCTGGACAAATGTATCTTATCTTGGATATTCTCGTTTGGTCTTTAAGGCTCCTGGGGAGTCGCATCATTCATCTCTTTTTAATGACGTCAGAAGCGAAAAAACGCATGCTAAAAATTCCTGCAAAATACGTCGAGATAAACAGATATGTCCACAAAACATTTGCGATCAAGTACACCTCTAAAATACTCCGTACACTTTCCTTTTGTTCTAACAATTAACAGGTAATTATAAAATAAATGTAATGTGCAATCGTCTTTTCTAACCTAATTTCCTCATTATCTTGTCATATTAATTTTATAATTATCTGTTAATTGTTAGAACAAAAGGAAAGTGTACGGAGTATTTTAGAGGTGTACTTGATCGCAAATGTTTTGTGGACATATCTGTTTATCTCGATGTATTTTGCAAGAATTTTTAGCATGCATTTTTTCGCTTCTGATGCCATTAAAAAGAGATGGATGATGCGACTCCCCAAGAGCCTTAAATACGAATGTTTAAACTCTCAATATAGAATATATGTGTACACTAGAATTCATAAATGTCTTTACACTTCTAGTTTCTAAAGAATTGGACTTTTTCGATCTGGCGTATTGTTTCTCAGTAAGCGTGAATCGTGACTGTTAGTTGTCGGTTTCTTCAGTAACTAACAATCACGATTCACGTTTACTGAGAAACGAGAGATGCGTCAGATCAAAAAAATCCAATTCTCTAGATGCTGGAAGTGTAAAGGATTTATGAATATTTGTGTACAGAAAGTTCACATTTTTTTGACACACAGCATTATCTATGTTAAGGTAGATTAGTAAAGATGAGACTACACTGCATCACTATCGTGGCTTTCTGGATTATAAGGATAAATATATTGATACTCTATATTAAGAGTAATAAACATTCGTATTTAAATAACAATAGGAATTTAACCAGAACAATAAGAATGTCCAGAGTTAGGTACGTGTCCAAGCATTGGCATCTTTATCTTACATTCCAAACGTAAGATCAAATGGACCCGTAATGAACGATTATTTGTAATATTTTGTACGTCGCGATACAATAGTATATAATTACGTCTGGCAGCTTCTTTTCCGAAAAGAAATTCGGACATTCGTCTAATGTACATATATTGGTCTTAGCTCTCTAATCGATCACCGTGTAAATGCAATCTAGCGCGTGGACATGGTGTTCACTCGTTGCCCATTCTCGCCGAGCAAGGAACATCAGTATAAAAAAAAAAAAGAAAGAGAATAGAAAGAGTCAGTCATCGTTGATTGGGTTGTAAAGCTCTCTTGCTCCACATTTCTTCCTTCCTCCCCTTCCTCCATCCATCCATTGAATTAAATGTCAGTTGCAGGATACTTGAGCACATCTATGTGAACTCGCAACACTATTCTCAGCATCCCTGCAATAGAGAGAACAGTTTGTTAATAATCACATCTACTCCTTCTGTTTCACTCTCAATCAATGAATATTAATCTTCCAAAATACAGTAATATATCACTGTATTATATTATTACATTATTACACTGCACATAAAACAATATAACAATTACTTATTGAAGAGATGATAACAGAAACTACTCGACAATTGGCTATAGTTATGCAAGAATGATCTAGCCTACATAAAATAATATTGAGAAAAATGAAGATAAAAATTTAATACATGATTTAAAAAGTATAGATGGCACTGAAACTTTTACAATCATTCAAAAAATCAATTTTCTTCTTTAACTCTTTAAGGCACATAATTCATGGAACATTCTAGTAACTTTTTTTAATGAAATATTGTCAAAAACACTCTAAATAGCACATTTATAAGGTTTCAACTGCCTGATCCTAAGTGGTCTCTATTGGTGCCAGTGATACTTAAAGGGTTAAGAATATTTATTGGCAATTCACTGTATTTAATAAAAAATTCACTTTCTTTAATAACTATATTTACTGATCTTTAATAAAAAATGGATAAAAAAAGACACAACTTAGTAAAAAATAAAAACTGTCTTTTAGTTCATTTTAGGTACACTATGACTTGGATCCTGTCTTATGTAAAGAGATATGTGGTCGCATCATTCTTGCATAGCTACGACCAAATCAGGGAGCACATTTTGATATTCTTTAGCCTGAGAGTTTCTCACGACACAGATACGTACTGGAAGTCTGCTGAATACATTGGCGAGAAATTTCAGGATTGCTTCTCAGATTCTGCTTTAAGGATTCAGGTGCCTGTACGAGAGTTTAAACGTACCTTGGCACCGATATTGGTGTCATATCCACCCTTCCTCTGCATCTGCGCTTGTAGATTAGCCAATTGCGCGATCGACATGTCCACGTCGCCGCTGCTTATGTGCGCTGTGTGTCGAAAGTTCGTGGGTACGCCGATCATGCTCCTGTCTATCCTGAGCTTCTGATGCTGCTGCGACCGGCCGTTCCGTGTCCTCGCCGGTCGTTGGGTCATACAGCACGTAAAACATTGCACCCAGAGTTCACTGCTACCGGCCATCTTGTGATGTCCTGAGCCCTCAACTCCTCGAAAACAAATCGTTAAAATTGCAGGATAACAGATAACCTCAAAAGCAGCTCGTGCCCGTGCTCGCCCGAGCCGGCAATTTAGAATCGTCTGGATGACGACGATATCACGATGTACTCTCGATTCTCCCGCGGAAGATGCAGGACGCAGGTGACAGGTGACGAGCGAACGGTACCGTGACAGATTAAGCGCACCAGCGTCGGTCGACGACGTATAGGTTAGGAGCAGAGTCTGGCGAATGCTTGCGAGCGACGGATGTCGTCCTTTAGACTTTGTCTTAACCTTTCGGCACGTTCTTAACGACCGAGCCGAGCAAGATAAACATTCCGGTATAACGCGCGACTCGCAGCTGCGAAGGACATCGTCCCCTGCGAGCGCAAACACAAGCGGGACGAGGACTTGTTTCGGCGAACAAAGGCGATGCCGTGCGCGCTGTCACACCTAATGCCCGTTTTACACGGTGCGCGATTTGTGCCCGCGGATTACCCAATGGCGTGTCCTTTAATATGTATGTATGTAAATATTTTCTTATTGCATAATATTGAATATACAAATATTTTTCTACTGCACAATTGAATGTGCAAATGTTGTCCCACCGCATAATTGAGTGCTTATTAATATTGACCTTTCGCAATTATCTATTCGTACATTTGCAATGAAATAACGTGATTTAAAACAGGTTGTCGACGTGGCGCGACTATTTTCAGAAGTACACCACACTCAAATGACATACTCGTCATTTCATTGCATTGATCTATCAAAATTATCACATCGTACTTTTGATTTTTACAGCAACAAATGTGCGCGTTGTGGTATTCCACAAGTAACAACAGAAAGAGTATCACCCGTTAGAATGGAGAGTGATGAGAGGATGAGAGAGAAGGTATATAGTGCCAGCTAATACACTTTATTTAAATAAATTATGTACAAGTGTGCTTTTCTCTAAAACGAAATGTTCCATCTATCCACGTTTTTCTATCGCTTATATAAGACATAAATTAAGATATTAATTTCTTTTACGGTAAATTGACTGCAAAGGCCTTCGCTCTTGTGTGTATCTTCGATATTCTCTCCCTCCCTGCGGACTCCCTCTCGCCTTGCTCGAGAGGTTCTCAAAACGAATCCTTTCTCCTCCTCGTCGTCCCGTTTTACGGAAGGACGTTCGCCTTTTCTTAAATTCACGCAGACGTTGTTAGAATTATCACAGTCTGTCTATTTACAGCGTTAAACATTTTAACGTGATGATCTTAATCTACAATTAATTCTCTCTCTCTCTCTCTCTCTCCCCCTCTCTCTCTCTCTCTCTCTCTCTTAGATTCCGGTCGAATACTCCGTGTGCCGCGTTCGCGTTCAACGCTAAACCCCAAGGACACACGCTATTTCATAGCGCCAACATCAAGACACCGGATCCTCATAAAATACTCCAACTACATGAATTTCTTCCAAGGAGACTCTTCTTACGAGCACTCCCCCGTGCAGGAAGTAAATTTACGTGTTAATCGTACATACTGTAGTAATCGGACAACTTAATGACGATACAACACACCGTAAGACTCTCGCGCGACACGATGCATTTACATTTAACATACTTATACAAAAAGTCACATATTAAAAAATTCTGCCAGTTAACGCTACTTGTGATTCTTATATACACGGACACCTAGGAGAATACAGGAGGACATCACGCGATCCCTCCCCTTCTCTCTTTTCGAATTCGACGTGAGACACGACCAACTAGACGTTTTGTAGGCTTCGATCAGTTGATGATACATGTATCAATTAAGCATGTTGCTGAGATACTTGGAAGCGTCCGGTGGATCGTATTCTTGGATGCATATGGTGCACACTGGCGCGAGTTAAAGGCCGTTGTACGTCTGGATGAATTCATCTATGAAGAGAAACGTAATACCAGCCCGGGGACAAAATAATTCTGTATAATAATAGATATTTCATATATGAATTTTTCCCCTCTATTATGCGGTTACTTATATAATCATATATACACACATCTTGTATATCCACATATGGAAAAAATGTTGTTAAACGGAGAAAGGACAGTTTTGTTCCATTAAATGTCGACATTATGATCCGCTGGAAACACAAGCATTTACTTCGATGCAACAGCATCTCTTCTCTGTATGGATACATGTAATTACATATGGTTATATATTTGCCACCTAGAGACAAAGTTTATACAGAATTATTTTTTCCCCAGGCAGTGACTCATTACACAAGGAGTTGACGATGAATCATAGCTGATAACGTGCAGGCGTCGACACAATGGAAATGAGAAATCGCAACGCCTCCTGACACACTGATTGTACACGAAAAACTTTGGACCCTCCTGAATGGCGCAGCATTGTTCTTGGTCACATTATAGATACTGGAGTGTTATCTATCTCTCACTGGTCCCATTCTCGCTCTATCTCGATTGATTGTGCGTCGAGGTGTCTTTATTATCTATTATCTATAAGCGTCGTCTCGATTCGACAACATCCAACCGGATATTCCGCCGAACATTCGCCGAGTGTCTTGCGTTGATTCGTGTACGACGAGCTTTAGATCGTGCGAGCCTCAGTGCGCACTGATGCATCCGATCGAATTCGATTCTCGGTTTTGAGAGAAGCCCGGAAAAGTTCTCCGTCGGATAGGCCACCCGATTGTCCGACGAGCACGACGGTCGAACTGAATCGCGCGGTGTCCGCCTCGTAAACAGAGTGCGGAAGCGCGTGAAATTTCAGGGACGATCTTCCTAATCGGGTGGTGTGAAATCTGTTAAGGTGAGCCCGCTTAATTGCTCCGATGACGCGAACGACAAAGCGGAGGGGGTTTATGGTTGTATAGGGTGTCTCGGAATCAACGAATGTCCTCACGAGAAGCGTTCAACGGATACCTCGGCCTGGATTCGGAACCGAGAGAAAGAAAAACGACGAACTTACTTTCTCCTAACGTATTGCGGATCTACATATTCTAAAATCAAATTTTGTATAAATATAATTTTCATTCAATGTATATACATATATGAGAATAACTATAAAATATTATATACAAAATACATTGTTATACAAAACTACATAAAAATGATATATATATTTTTTTATATAATTTTTATACAGTTGTCATATTCTTTATGTAATCTTGCATAAGTATAGTTTGATTTTATTGAAATCTTTGAAATTAGATGAGTAGGAAAAAGTCTATACCTCAACGTCTTGTTCAAGAAAAAATCCTCGTTAATTCGCCAGCAAAAAGCTGCAATATTTCTGAATAAACTATTTGGTTCCTGATTCCGAGAAACCTCGTGTGCGCGCAAACAGTTTCACGTGCGTCGTCATGGCAGCAATCGAAGCACTTTAGAACGGGTTTCGGCACCCACCCGGGAAGGCTCATTGTGAAACGTCACGCACTTCCATAGCCTACTCATAAACAAACAATAAGTCGAAATATAGTCTGTGTCAAAATGGTCAAGTCACGCTGTATTTCGAAAGCAAACTCCACAGATTTATTATTAAGTAAATCGAGAACGATAGTGATAATCGTTGAGACGTTGGAATAATACTGATGTTATGAAGCGCATTAAGTACTCGGCGTGAAAAGGAGAAAAACATATTAGTGATATATCAACCGTCTCTCTTACTCTCATGTTAAGTGAAATTTACTATCAAGGCTAAATATCCAATGAGAACGTATGTCGTAAGAATCTGTGCCAGTCCTTATGAAAATATTACCACATTAACCACATTAATTATTAACATTGACTAATCGACGTCTCAATGACTTGGGAAACAAAATTTACGATCAGAGCTCACGCATATTTAGGTTTTGAAATATACTTTGCACAGATTTCTGTTGAAGTGCAGAACAGATTTTCTAAGAAAAAACCAAAGACATAGAATATATGAGCAACATTATTTTTTAGAAATGCACTCACTAATGCTGTATGATGATTGCTTGATATATATTTTGCAATTTTTACTATTGACAGAGTCCCTATAGAGAAAGAAAAAGATGAGGATCTCAGCAAGTATAAGTTACATTTATTTCTACAGCTTTTCTTCCTCTAAGAAACTTGTACGCGTTACTTTATTGTTACTTCTGTACTGGACACACATTGGAAAATCTTAAGTCAAGAATTTTAGTGTACAATGAAGAGATTAAATATCTCGTGCGTCACGTAGGGTCACCTTATATCAGTATAGTTGTGTTGTGAAAAGTTTTATCAAAACGTGGTCTATTCTTAACACAAATGGGTCTATCCAGACTATCCAATTTCTCTCAGACATAGGCAAATTAATTACGACCGCGAAACATTGTCCCAATCTTACAAATATCGATGTTTCTGTGATACCAGTTTATATGAAGAGCGTGTATACATATTAACAAAGAGATATAAAGTAAGAATTAGACTCAATTTAGGAAAATCGTTATGGATGATGACTTGAGAAAGAATACCAGAATCTAAACCATTCTACGACACGTTTCATTAATGACATATCAGGCAATTGTCTGTCGTAATTGCCAGCCCAATGTGCATATTTTTAGTCAAGCAACGACATAATATCGCTGATGGTGAATTTTCTGCGGTATCTCAGAATCCTTTTCTCGAATGTTTCTTTTTGCATCAACTGATTAATATGCACGTAACGTTAATAATACTTCGACGCAGGCATTAGCAGACTCGTGTCGAAAACTAAAACAAATAGACGTCGGTTTTCCTCGTCAAGTGACTCTATAATAAAACTGGTTTTCACACATCGATGGAAAGTCGAAAGAAAAATCGGTCGGGTTTACGTGAAACCGTAAGCTAATACTTGGAGGATAATAAATTACAGCGCACTCGGCATCGCGTTATAACAACTGTATATTAAATCTTTATCGTCGCGTTTAACTAAAATGAATCTGTGGAGATTACCTGCTAAACGGAACAGCGTGTCTCGATCGTAACGACGTTAACGGTGGATTTCCGGTAGGAGTGTTCGTTTTCTAGGGGTAAAGGTGTCGTTAGCTGGAGCGCCTAGAAAACAAGTTCTGAATCCTTAGTATACAAGGAGGAGACACCTTCGAGCAACGACCCGGCCGTCATTGAATCTTAACTACCGACTACAACGATGTTGTTTCACAGCGATTGCCATACAGTTCACCAACAACATGCAACAACTCGACTTTTTGTTACACGAAGAGCAACGTAACGCCACCGGGAGTAATCTCGCCTCTTCGATCCAAAAATATATATTCACTTATAACAAACGTCTCTTCGTGACTCTCTCTCTTTCTCCCTGTCTTTAAGATCGATCCCGCCTCTTCGAAATTATCGGATTGCTCGCGCAACAAACGGCCGGATTCTTTCGCTCTCGGGGACAGCGTTTTCCACGAAGCAACCTGATCGCGGAAACGTTGTGACAGCACCATAACGCATAGAGCGCGTCCTCCCTATCGAGCGAAGCCCAGAAAGTCGGTGAGTCTGTCGTTCCAGTCGTGCAGCCAGTGTGTCGGCCCGTGGCTCTGCTGACGTTGCTTACACGGATTGATCTCCTTCTCCGGCGGCATGTACTCCTCGCTGCGTATGCAAAAGTAGCTCTTGATGGGGCTGCGGCACATCGGGCAGCGGTCGAGTTTGCCGAAGCATGAGGCGCAGATGCAGGTGTGCCGGCATGGCAGCAGAGCGCGCGACAGCGGGAAGTATTGGCACACCACGCATAGCTGTTCGCCCGCGCTGTTCCACAGAGAACCGCCGTCCTGATCGCCGCCCTGACCGGATGCCACCAAGGCGCCGCGACCGCTGCCGCTGCCGCCGCCGCCGCCGTTGTTGTTGTTGTTGCACGGCTCGGCGAGCGCCAGCGCGGGCGTCGGCCCCAGCCCCGACGACACGTCGCTCTCGTCGTAGTTGCTGGAGTTGCCCGTCGCCAGGTACAGTTGCTGTGGATAAGAATCGCGCGAAATCGCACGAGTTGTCGACTGAGAACAACTACTGAGAACATTGATTTACGTGATATGAAGCCTCGGGATCAGTGTAATTAATCTTACAACTGCAAATTAATCGAATTATTAATGAAATTAACTGAGTCTATATTATGGTCCCGTTCAGAGGTGATCATCATGCGACGTTCAATATATTAACACTTGATATTCCGAACGAGTTCCAAGTGACAACCTCGTCGATGTCCGAGTATCTGTCACAAGCGGCTCAATACAGCGCTTCCCGCGTTGGATTCCGCAAGGATCGACATCGAGATTCGTGTTTGAGGACGTTACTTCTCTCTCTCTTTCTCTTCCTCTCTCTCTCTCTCTGTCGTTCTCTAATTCGCTGGTAGATTCGAGCGACGGTTATCGAGACTCGAATATCTCACAAGCGAGATGTTTATTACTTTGCGACCAGACGGGTCAGGGTGAAGTGGCTGAACGCAAAATGTCGTAGACACAGGCGATTAACGGCGTCATTCTAAACGAGAAAACTCACCTTTAAGCAGGACAACTGACCATTCGCCTGTTTCAAGTACTGCGCCAAGATCGAAGTCGGCAATGTGCACACGCTGTCCTTGATATGAACGACGTTCACCAACGCCACCTTAAACATCGCATTAGACTTTAAACGTTCATGTTATTTCGCACGGAACGCGGAGATCAATGTCGCGAGAGATAATCAACGTTGAAGCAACCCGATGACGACGACGAGTCTCTCGCGGCGAGGGAGCGCGCAGCAACGAAAGTTTTGCTCACAGTTTCGTCAGGATGGGGGTCCTTGTTGTCCCTCCGTGTGAGAAAGATTACCAAGGGGTAACAGAGTCGCGGCGGAGTGCCAAGCTCCAATTCTGGCGCCGGGAGCGACAGTCTCAGCGTCTCCTCTCCGTGTGGCTGTCTACTGCAGTCTCGGTCAAGGAATGACGTGATCAACACAGACACGTTCTAATCGTGAGCGCGATGAAATGAGAAGCGAAATGAAGCTCGCAAGGATGCGCGTCAGATTCACCTTCTGGCGAAATCAGTTGAACCCTCGCGGCGATTTCTCGACGTCTCGACTCCTCGACTCCCCCACCGTCCTCCTTCTCCTTTTGACATTCATACCTCAGTGACACACGTACACTGCGAAAGAATTTAATACGAAGTTTATTCAACGAGATAAACTTCATTTTATGAAAGTAAGCCCACAGGAACAAACTTCACATCCCGCAAATAAATTTTCAAATATTTTTTTCTTGGTATAGCCTTCATCGAGCTGAAACGCGCAACGCTGTATCTTCCAAGCTACTTGAAATTTCTTCCATGTGTGACGCTACGTGGTTACGCGTGCCTATGGCACGAACGCCAAGGAGGATGAGAACGGCAGGCACCTCAGTGGGTGACGCTCGAAAATCGCCTTGAAAGAGCAACTGATTTTCAATACCGAAAGCACCATTACGGTTATTCAAGTCCGGTCCATTAGTCATTCTTTTAACCTGACGTTACATCCTGGGAATATATATAACGTTATTGTGCTATACAAGGTGTCTCCGAAAAGAAATCCTGCCGGGGATCTTTCGAGATACGCGAGTCTACAATTACGACCAAGTTACGACAGTTTCCAGATTAACGGCGAACTTAAAATTCACGAAGCTGACGTTCAGTGTGCTCGAGCGTGACGAGTTCCAGGATGTTTATGACTTAGTGCTCGTAAATTACAGATGTCAACTGTCGAGATAAATTTTATTGTTGTGTTTATCTTCGCTATTAAGATAGTCCGATGCTCTCGCGTCGAAGTAAAATGGCAGAGTCCTTCCCGAGATAAATATAGTGGGAAAGTAACCTCCTCTTCGTGAAACTGATTGAAAGATTCGACTGGCCGGAGCTGAAATCGACGCAAGATCGGTCTCGAAGGATACGTTTGTGGCGGAGTGAGATGCTGCGCGTAACCTTGCAGGAGAGTCCCATTCAAGGACGCGTCGCGCAGGGTGCTCCAAGGTTTCCAGAGCGCCAGATGCAGCTCCCTGATGCTAACACCCCAGATCGCCTGCAGCGAGTATTCCACTTGGCTGGACACTTCGCACTCCACCTCTAGAACAGACGTTTTTCATTTTCTTTTACGTTTTGACCGTGTCGACCAATGATCGTTCGGCAAATATCGGCTCGTAGCATTTTACTGCACTGAGAGAGAAGAATTTAGTAAATATTATCAAAATTTGGTTACTATTACTAAAATGGTAGACGTAAATATAGCGGGCCAAAGCTATGGCAATACTTATTAATTAATTTAGTTCTGTAAAATAAATTATTTATTTGACAGAAGTAAAATTTATTTGCTTCCAGAATATATTTGGTAAATAAAACTTATTGAATAGTTGAGCAAAATAAGCGATTTTGTAGTAGTTACAAAATTTTTGGTAGGTTCAACCAACCATCTGTAATAATAGATATTGAAACGATGTAATAGCTGCAAATGAATGAATTTTTCGTTGTGCTGCAACAAAACATACTTATACTTTTAACAAAATAGAACTCGTAACTACTGAATTTTTTATTACATGGGATATAACAATTTCATAACAATTATCAAATATCTGCTTATAACTGTAATATATTTCATATTAAATATTTAACATTAAGTAACTATTACTAAATTATTTAATTGATGTTACTGTGAATGCAATTACGTCATACTCCCGATCTATTAAATATTTGGGAATTATTATCATATTTAGTATTAGTTACTAAGGATTCAATGAATTTCTGTAACTAAATGCAGTTTGTTATAGTTACCAGTCTTTTCTCTCAGTGTGGCTTTAACAAATTTTCTGTTGGATGAATTTTAATTAATGGACGATAACAATCGTTTTTTACTGCTTTTCTGCAGAAAAGTAACAAATTATATTTTATTGCTTTTCTGCAGAAAGAAAACTTAAGAAAGGTAATAAATAAGATCGAAATTGCCTCAAATCGAGAATCAAATTATAATGCGATCCTAATGTAAACCTGACAAATCCAAAAATCGTTTCTTGCTTTTTATTATCGTCTAAAAATAAAGTTCCTTTCTTTTCGAAAATAAAATTACTCATGTGTTTGGAAAGAGCCCTTGGGACGGTTTCATTTAAAGGCTGGCGCCAACACCTTCCCCACTTCTCGTACATCGAATTTTAAACCGCAATTGCGTTAAATCGATAGAGTTCATCATTCTGATTACAACCATGGTTGTAATGCGATCATTCTGCGACGTAACCTCGCGGAGATATAGCGTAATAATATTTCATTGGTAATAATATTACATAATACGTCGCACGTCACATAACTTGCTTATCACCGATGTTCACTTTCTGATTATCAAATTGGAAGATCTCCACGACAATGGCCAGCATGTAAAAATGCAAGTCGCTGAAGCATTCGGCCTATCACAACTGAGATTCCCCGTAGCTCCACATTGCCACGGTACAATTGAATTAGTTACTTTTAGCCTACAATAACCACCGGTATTTTCAAAAGACATTTTATTTTCTATCAGGGCTTCTTAGTGTCGAAGATAATCAAAAGACCCAATAATCGAATCCAGAAATGAAATCTCACAATATCTAGAGTGGCGCCATCTATTGATTTCGGGATTTTTTGAACGTTATATCTTCGCGAGATTACATCGCATAATGATGACATGACTATGGTTGTAATCAGAACGATGAAGTCTATCGATTTAACCCAATTACGGTTTAAAACTCGATGTACGAGAAATGGAGAACCTGCACGGAAAAAAAGGTTTGGTTGAATTAACCAAATATCTGGTCGAATATGAACAATCCAGAAATTCCGATTGAAGTAACCCGAATTCTGTTTAAGTTAACAAGATTTCTGGTTGACTTGAACAGAATTCGGATTACCTCAATCGGGATTTCTGGATCGTTCATATTCGACCAGATATTTGGTTAATTCAACTAAACCTTCTTTTCCTATATAGACTTGGCGTCAACCTTTAAATCGCTTAAACGTCCGGATCAAACAAAATTTACCGACAATATTAACGTACACTGAGAGAAAAATGTATGATATTTGAAACTATAATGGCATAGTAAAAATATTATAGTTAGAAATATAATTTTTATAGTGAATGTTACCATAATATTTGTAATATTTACAATATAAGTATAGTATAACTGACCCGTGTAAAATTTTTACCAAGAATTATAATTATTTGAAATAAAAAATATGGTAAGGTGGCAAATATTGAATGGTAAGAGAAATTAACTATTTTATATAGTCAATACAATTGGAATATTTGACAAATATAGGTACATGTAACTATATTCCCAAAAGGTGCTTTACCATATATATAGAGTAATAAGATGATGACTATAAATCTGTGTTCATTCTACTATATCTTCATGTTTAGATGAACTATAAATATATATTTGAGGCCAAAACGAACTATAAAATATAGTGAGATTATAGTTATTCCAACTATTTTTTTCTCTCAGTGTATGAGCAAGAGAAAAAGAGCGAGAATGTATGTATATATGATTTTAGTTTCTTTTCCGTCTTTTAGGAATATTACATAATTTCTACAATTGGATGCTTAAATCTTGATTAAAACATTTACGCTTGTCACATAACTAAGTGAATAACGGTCTATCGATAAGGATCTTGGCTCGTTAATGTCGACATTAAGAATGTTGAATGAGAACAACATGCAAGACTCACGACTTCGATAGAAGACAAGCGCGAGAATCGCAATTTGCGTCACACATTCCGGTCTGTCAAGACCAGTCGATTTCTTCGTTAAAATCTTGTTTTTCACGGGATTATGCCGATGGTGATCCATGTTGATCAATCGATCTTCTTAGCATAAAAAAGAAGAAAAATCAGAACCGGTAGATAGTGAAATGTCAAGACCAACGATTGTGCAACTGTCCTGAACTGTCCACTGCTTGTAGCGACATTGTGGACAGAGACTTTGACTCTAATTGATCAAAGTTACATCTCATATATATATATATATATATATATATATATATATATATATATATATATATAT